ACTTTAAGACTATGTAAACACTTGAATGTCCATTGCCTGGGGCCAGCTACTTTAAAAATGGACTTCAAACAAATGTAAATCTCTTTCTTTCTCTCTTTTTCTCTTTCCCTCTCTCTCTCTCTCTCTTTCTCTCCCTCTCTTTTAATTCCTTTCTCTATTTTTCTTTCTCTCTTTTTCCTTCTCTTTCTTTCTCTATCTATCTATCTATCTATCTATCTATCTATCTATCTATTATGTTTGCTTTTGTGTTAAGATACACTTTAAGACTATGTAAACACTTGAATGTCCATTGCCTGGGGCCAGCTACTTTAAAAATGGACTTCAAACAAATGTAAATCTCTTTCTTTCTCTCTTTTTCTCTTTCCCTCTCTCTCTCTCTCTCTTTCTCTCCCTCTCTTTTAATTCCTTTCTCTATTTTTCTTTCTCTCTTTTTCCTTCTCTTTCTTTCTCTATCTATCTATCTATCTATCTATCTATCTATCTATCTATCTATCTATCTATCTATCTATCTATCTATCTATCACATTTCTGAACAATTTAAGCTGTGCTGTGTGATATGTAATTTTTAATCACCAAAAATCTATCCTTACAGTAAACTCCTATAATTCTCTGTTCACTGAGTGAAATTTTAAATCAGACTGACACTGTAGGTTGTAACAGTGGCTGATCAAGCTACACAGGGATAGTAGAGTGGAGTAGAGAGGCGTTTAGACAGCACATAGAGTTCAGGCAGTTCTGTGGGAGTTGTAGTAGTCTAGCAAAACAAATGACAAACGCACTCAACAATCCCTTGTGTGTTTCTGTGCCTTTAAGGAGGCTGGGCTTCCTCCTGACAAACCTGCACCCAATTTGGAATCTTCTGCCCCCATGTGCTCCAAGATGGAGACTCTCATAGTTTAGAATTGTAGTAGTCTGTCACATTAGGATCAGGAAGTTTTGTATAGTATACAGAACATTAGGGTAATTGCTTGATGCGCATTGTAACTTGTTAGGCGTTTACTACACAGGAGATTTTCTGGGTGCCTCAAATTTTCCCCCTCTGCTGACGATAGTCTTGTATGTAATACATGGATCTCACTGTGCTGCAGATATTTTTCAAGTTGCGCTCATACTACTTTGTGGTTAAAAATCTATTGTGTAACTGAGCCCTTTCCCTATACCAAGACAGTGACTGCAAGATCTCCACACTATGGTTCTTGTTTGTATAGTATTAGACGACCAACCAACTGGCTGCTGGAGAACTGCAGCTTCTTGGATGTAAGGGTGGCAGGGCATGCTGGGACATAGAAATAAAGTGACCCTAGTGGTTCATGCCTGCTCTATAGAATTGATAAGTATATTTACCCAGCTGGCATCATGCAAACCACCAGTAAGTGTCCCCATAGCAACAGCCAACTGCCTACTGTTCTGCTTTAACATGGCAGGCTTGTATGCAGTCCAGGCTATGGCCCCCTACCACTCCATCATATGGCACAAGTCAATCGATTTGAAATACACAGCATGAATTGCTTTTTTTTTCCCCAGCTCTGCTGATAAGAGAACAGATGATACATTTGGAGGACTGTAGGCAAGATTGCTTACAACTTGCCCTACGAATCCTGTGATTCTTACACCAGAGACTGACTGTGTCTATTATATGCAACATGATCAAACACATAATTTCCGTCAAATAATGCTAACTCTCCTCTTTGATTAATATTAATGCACCTTCCATTGTTATATAATTCATCTCTCAAATATTTTGAATTGACTGAGCTTTATTTTTGCAAGCTAAATTGGGCGCAGATGCTACAAAAAACGAGTGATGTTTTTTTAAAATTCATAATTACATTATTGAGCTTTAAGTTGATTTATGTTCATACCTAAAATGTACAAAAACCTATGTACCTAAAACGATCATCTCATGTGCTTTTCCAGGATACATAATCCTCAATAACAGAACAGTACAGGATTAATACTGATATGCAGTCTAAAAAAAATACATGCTATATGTTAACATTGCATTTAGTGTTTTTTATGCTTCTATCGAAAAACACAGTACACCGGGTTGTCCGGTACAATATGCCACAGAATACACTCAAACATACTTAGTCACCTAAGGTCAACAGGCATTCATTAGTTTTGAAGTGCCACTGCTGCAGGTACTGTGAAGCCCAAGTTAAAGTGATATTAAAAGACAACTATGGGGTAAGTGTTTTTCCCCACAGTTCGCTCTAGGGTCACAGGAGGACATATACTAGCATCCTCACATGACTCAAAGCTTAGTATATCGTGGGCTATTGCCCCTGATCTACTGTGAGCGCCGCAGCCGAGACGGATCCCGACATTACTATCGAGATCCACCCAGCTGCCTGAGTGACAGCTGGCTCTGCCTATCTAGAGGCAGAGCCAGCTGTGCCCACCCCCTCCCCTGCTCGTTCCTCCACTCAGCGCTGGAGGATCAGAGAGGGAAGGGGGGAATCC